TTTCTGGATCAACGACACAACGTAAAATTTTGCATGAAACTGAGGAAAACATTCACGGAAACGTTTCGACTTTGGGAACGAGCTTACGGAGATGATGCACTGAATCGTACACAATGTTACGCATTGTTTTCACGATTTAACAGTGGTCGTCAGTCAATTGAAGATAGTCCTCGACCAGGAAGGTCTTGAACTTCAACTAATGGCTACCACGTCCAGAAAGTCAAAGATCTGGTGTGTGCAAAAAGATCTGGAAAGTCCAATAATCCGCAAAAAAGACCAGATTTGTGGCGAAACAACTGACGGTTCTTGCACCATGACAATTCGTCCGCACGCTCAGCCTCGTCAATTCGACAGTTTTGTGTAAAATATCAGTTTACTGTCCTCCCTCCTTACTCGCCAGACCTGGCCCCTGCGACTGACAACTAAACACATAGTTCAATGTACTGAATTTCTAACTGTCTAAAGAGAAGAATAATAATATTTAAGGTAGAACAGGTATAAATATGTTCAGTGGGCAAATTGGTCATAAATGTACTTATCATAAAAAATATTTGTTTTAAGAATGAAAACGTCATATTTCCCAGCAAGAGAAGGACATTTTTTTCGTGATTAAATTATTGGACTCATAATTTTATATTAAGTTTAAATCAAAATGAAATGTTTTCAACTTATTTTTAGTTACCGCCTTAGCAACACACGCAGTATATTAAAAAAAAATGCCCCATTGAAATGTCTACAAATTTTGTTACTTTAGTATTTTAACTAATAAAATAAAAAAAATTACATTTCCAATTTCGTCTATAGGAACAAAAAAATATATATTTTTGTCTCTAGAGAGGAAATGTGTACTTTCTATAGATGAGAAAATAGTTTACCTTTTAACGGTTTTAGACTCGGTTTTAAATCTAAAAGCTTGTTATCAAAAAAATAATTTTCCTTATGATCAAAGATGATTGTTAACTGAATGAAATTCTAATATAGGTACCTACCTAAACATTTTTGAAATAACCTACTTTGTACCTAACTATTATATTTTATTCTTATAAAAAAAATGATACACTTCCTGTTCAAAAATAGAACTAAATCAAATTTTCAGGGGACAAAATTGAAAACTGACAATTCGTTTAACAATTTTGTAGCATATGGATCAAACTCTGCAAACATCGCAGTTGCAAATATTGACCTATTTACCTCAATCTGACACTGTAAGTAACTAAGCTAATCATTAAACAACACCTAGGTAAATTTTTATTAATAACAAGCAAATGTCCCGATTGTGACAAAAGAGCCCAATAATCAGATCACCTTGCAAAATTCCACTATATCTAAACTATAACCTGGATAGATATGTATTTATAAAAAAAATTAGTGCCTACAGTGCGGTAGTAAATATAAAAATATAAAGATATCTACCTACTTGCATAGTAAAAAAAATGAGGCGAGATGAATTATAACCGACAATTAATATTAACATACTATAAAATATAGTCGTATTGTAGGTATTCGCATGATAAAAATTATGGTATGTGGTGTATTTTTCGTATGATACACGTCATATTCCGGTTCTCAAATATTTTTTTTACATTCTATAACCCTAACTAAGCAACGAAAACCCATAATTTAGTGATGTTATGTTAATCCCGAATAAATAAAATAAAATACCTATAAAAGTTGTTTTTATTATTATTAGCCACTTGCAAGTAAAAATTTTTACCACACTCATGAGTGTGAATAAATAGGAATCACTCACAGTGTTATTTCAAAGTAAAATCTAACACTCAGAAATAAATATGTACCGTTGGCAGAAACTGGAACATAGAAAATTATTTACAACATGTTCCTTTTTGTCTTTCCTTTTTCCAGTCTAGTTAAATTTAACTGCTTTGCTAGGTTAGACATTACATCTGATCGGAACTAGGTAGGTAGGTAAAATAACTTAGTTTTCTCAACACGCTATTGTTCGAATACAACAAAAAGTTACCAATTAGTTACTGCAATGTGGTTTACTTTTATAGTCAAAATTGTTTTAGAAATAATATACCCGTATAGATAAAGGTGTACACTCACCTGAGTCATTTCTTCCATAGAGTTATGTCGGTTACAAGCTCGTTAACATGTTAGATAGGTTGCTTTTAAATGTTAATAAAAATAACTAACACAATGTAAGCGGTTAAATATCTGTTTTGATCAATGTCATTTAAACTCATATTATATGAGTCATATATGAGTGTCGAAATACGAACTAAAGTTGTTACTGTGTAACAATACATTTTTTTCTGTGTGGTGATGGTGCAATTGCTTTTTGATATATTTTAAAACAATATACCTAATAAGCAAATTTAACATAATACCCATTCAGTAATATACTTTTTTAGGTTACTTAATTATACATATTTCAAAGGCAAATTAATTAAAACTAGAAATGTTGCGACTGGCATTGTTATTTGTTTTGTTTTCTGGTTGAAACAGATAATAAATTTCTGAACTAAATTTGTGTATCTGTAATTTAAATGGAAAATTTTCACCACAAATTGTATCAATTTAAAAATTGTTTGTGAAATTTCAAGCGCATTTATTCTGTCACCACTCACAATCCTCTACAACGCAAAATATTATTCATTTATTAGAGATAATACAGTATGCCTAGATACTTACATCCTGTAAAATTCATAATTGTGTTGGTTAGCATCGCGGTTAGCGCATTTTAACATTTTAATCAATGAAATTAAAAGCATCTGACTGTGGAGCAGTTGTAGGTGTAGACCGGATTTAACAGTGCGAATGAGGCATTTGATGACTCAGGTAAAAGCTAATTTCTGCTAACCACCCACCAGTTCGCTTATTGGCCTCAAATTACTTCACAACTTCCTTTCGTTGGAAACCGAGTTAATAAAGGCAACGAGTGTAGTAAAAAAATATACGAGAAATACTGCTGACGGGTACTTTTTTTAAAGTTTTGTATGTATAAACATTCAAATAACTACTCTTATTAGGTAACAAATATTTAAGATTGTACAAAGATTAACAAAATGATAGGTATACCCTTTACTTAAAAAAAGAGTCACTTATTGTTTATATTTTAAGAAACTGTATAAATTAATGTAAATAATTAAGCAAATTATAGAGAATATTACGTTATCAAATACGGAATACGCAATATACTTTAATCAACATTATTCACAGTGATATCTATTTACTTTAGCACTTAATCTAATGCCAGTTACACACGTTACGATAAATCGTAACGATTTATCATCGGATTTATCTGTAACTAAAAATGTCTACGATACATCCCATCTACACGAGACAAATGTTTGTGCAAACTAACAAATTTATTATTAATGTGCAGTCGACATGGACAGTGCCTTCATAGGAAACAGAAAATTGCCTGCAAAAGGAAAAAAAATGTTCGGCATGGTATTTATTTTCTTGTCGATTGAATCATTACAATTTGAGAAAAATTATAAAATTTATAGCTTGCTTTTTCTTACATTAAGCTGAATTACCAAGACATTAAGATATGTATTTGTTTAAACCAAAAAGTAACGAACACGAATTAGTTGTATTTATCAATAATTTCTAAAATGATTGGTTTCTACAAAAAATAATTAATACAAAGACTTGAAAAATAAAAGTCAGATTATTATTAAATAATATAAAATTTAGAAAATTGTGGTTCCTATCTTTAAGGAATGACATAAACTAAAAGTAATATCACATTTGTTTAATTATTATGGAAGAGTGGCTTCTTTAACATATTTTTTAAATAGCTAGCTTGTGACTTTAGTGCTATTAATATTTAATTTTTATATAGTTGGATACTCACAGATCTATTAAGTAATATCTAGATATTATAGTATTAATAGATACTTACATTGGCAATTTTATTTAGGAAAATTTTGCAAAGTTTTCCATTTTGAACAAGATTGGGAGTTTCATACATATTTTTTGATTAGCTTATTATTAAACCATCTATTAAACATTAACATAACATCTATGTAAGGCGTTTAAAAGTTAGTCGTAACGTCAGTAGAAGCGCCTAATCTCTTTCAGGGATTTAATTAAATACCTATAATTTCTCTGACAAATGTATTCACTTATTGGATAGATTACTTTCTATTTGATTGATTTTTTGAAATAAACAAACAATTTATGTTATGTATATTTCCAATTTCCGTCTGCCATCTGCTGCTTAATATTAATAGAGATAATTTACGATAATCCTATCTTAATAAATGCATTTTTATTTGACTGATTCCTGACTGATGTATTTCGATATCGATATCATTAGATACATGTTATACCTGTCAGTCGTATAAATGTACAATTAAAAAAATATATTAAAATTAGTCACATATAGGTACAGAAAATGTTTGTTCTTATACCAAAGCGCCCTCTGTAGAATAACGGTGTATCTAAGTCGTTCGTTTTGAAGGAAGGAAAATAAATTTTGTTTAATTAAATAAAGACGCGCATTTGTTGACATTTGGTTTTGTATTTTTCTACGGTTTTGCTTCTTGCTACACAATGAAAGTAAATAGGTACCCACCCTTAAATAAAACAGTCAGTACGCCTATGGTGTGATAAGATATTGCTTGTGATGAGTTTTAAGTAATAATTAGGTATAAGTATATTATTTTTTATGGATTTGTGATTAACTTTGCACAATTTATCTTTAAGAAACCCACGTAAGTAAGTTGTTGGTGGCATGGCAAAGGATGCGTCGTTTTTAACCTAAACATTTTACGGTAACGGCTTAGATGCCTTAATTCGTTGAAAACAACTTGGAAATTGTGCTGAACTACTTAGGGGAGTTCGCGACAGCTGTTGGTTAAGTTCGCAGACCCCAATTAACGGGTAAATTGGTTAGGTATGGGACACACGGGTATAGTTGAGAGTGGTGCGAGGATTTCGGTGGCGGTGACAAACGGCGCAGGACAACCCTGTGGAGCGTGAAAGTACTGGAAGAGAAGTACAGTAGAAACATGTCAGTTCAGTACCTGAGTATTCGGCGATGTTCGGAAGCCAAACTGGGACATGGTGTGTCCCAGTCGCTGCTGCACTCACTGAGTCGTCGCCAAGGGAAGCATGGCTTCCAGCACACCCGCACTATTGCACTCTAACTAATTGCCGTACTTGTACAGACAACACTCGCCACTAGTGTCGCATTCGCATGTCCAGAGGTCCGCCACGTGGCCCGCCGCCGCACACGCAAAAATTCGGTAGCGATTAGTTGTGGTAGTACGAAACGTCCCTGCACCAGGTGATAATTGCGGTCGGCCTCAGCCGTGCGCTTCTTTCTGGCGGCCTGATTTTTGCGAGTCTGTCCAGTGGGTGGAGCGGAGTGGGGCCGTGGGAGGGGGGCCTCTTCTGTGGTCAGAGCGTTTCCAACGAGTCCTGTTTTTGCCACCGACAGAACGCGACTACTGATGTCACGGAATTCTTTTAACGGCGACAAATTGTCGCGATCACACAACACAAGCGCAGTAGTCGCGGCGATCCGTAAAAAAACGTCGCGAGTGGCGGGGTTCGGGCAACTTTTCTCCGGGGACTGTGTCGCTCTTTCTGAGATACATTTTTGTGGCCTCCCCTCGACGGACCGATTGATCCACCACCACTAAAAATTGCGCCCTACTTCTTTTTCTGTCCCCTCCTGCGGCGCATTTTTCCCCTCTGGAGGGCGAGCCGGCGGCGGATTGAAGAGAGCGTCAGCGGTACCGCCTAGGCCCGCCCTCTCGTCTCGCCCAATCCCGGCCGCGTGATGGATCGACCGCGTGCAGACAGCAGCCCCGTGTCTAACCGCCGTACCGTGTTCGCACCTCCAGACACGGGTCGGCCACCGTCACGCTATTTGGCCCTCTTACATCCTTCCTTCTTTTTCCTTTCTTCTTCATGTTATCTGCTATCTGCTGCTGCCCCTACTGGCGGTATTATGTCGTATGCGCCGCGCCAGCGTTTACTTCAACTCTGCCGTACATACATAATTATCACCCCCCATATTCGTCTAACCGCTACATACAGGGTGTCCCAGAAATAAGTGCCAAAGTCTCAACCACGCTTTTAACTCGACAACTTTCATTTAATGTGTTTTTTCGAGCACCTTTCGATGATAATATGTTATCTAGGATCTGTTCATTTAACAAAAAATTGTAATAATCAGTCCATAAAACATTCGCATAAGTTACTTAAATAAGTATAGACAACTCGTAACAGTTTTCGAAAAATTATGTTACACAAATTTGTTGCTTTTGATATACGTTAAATATAGTCAAAATTTTTACGCTTATTTCTGGAACTCTTAGTATACAGGGTGTTTGTAAATAAGTGCGAAATATTTAGGGGGTGGTTGTCGAAGTTATTTTGCGAAAAATAGTTCATATAAACGTAGGTCAAAATATGCTTCATTTCCGAGAACACTCTGTTTAAATTTTAATTTTTTATTTATTTTTATCAATTATTTCAAAGTTTTAAAGATATTGACTTGAAATTTGATGGTTGTATTTTATATAGAAATATTGACAGTAACATACTTACTAGATAATGTAAATATATCAATACAAATTAAAAGTACACAACTAGCAATAAAATATGTTTAATTTTTTTCCTCGAAAACGGTGCATCCTACGAAAAAAATTGAAGAAACCAATTTCATTCAGAATTGATGGCGGATTTCTAAAAAAAATTAAAATCGGGAAAAAGTCAGTGGCGTACCATTGTTTTATTAAAAAAAATTGTGGCATTCTCGCACGAACGTCTCTGGTGCAAGTAGAAATATTTGGATCACCCCAAAAAATGCACATTTATCTCTCCAAAGCGTTTTTCAAATTTCGAGTCAATATCTTTAAAACTGTTTGAAATAATTAATAAAAATAAGTAAAAAAAATTAAAACACTGTCTCTCGGAAACGAAGCATAATTCGATCTACGTTTATATGAACTTTTTTCGCAAAATAACTTCAGCAGCTACCCCCTAAAATATTTCACACTTATTTACAAACACCCTGTATAATAGATACGGGGTCAACTGAAAGTCGTTATTACCATTATATTTTTGAAAAAATAGTAAGTACCTACAATATATCCTATTACAAAAAATAATAGGGTTTTTGTGATAGTATTTAGCAATTTTTTTTCTTTAAATCTTAATTGTCGCACTACTTATGCGACAATTATTTGTGGTTTATGTCAAAGTAATAAGCATTTAGTTGTAGTAACGTCAAATCCGAGAATATATAATAGAACTTCTGAAAATAAAAATAAATTTTCGTGTGATCTAAATTAAAATAAATATTTCTTATTTTTTTAGCTCAAGAAAAGTTGTAAATAAACTTAAGATTGTTTTTCTAAAGCTAAAAAGATTTTTTAAGAAATCATTCAATGTTATAGATACAAAAAATATCAAGAGAAAATTTTTCCTTGAAACTGAAATTTTCATGGAAAACTATGAGTCACTTTTTACTTCAGAGACACAGAGTCGTACTATTCCTTTATTAAATTATTATAGTTAAAGCAATTATCCATATGTCCGCCACTGGTTTTTTCGGAATTTAAATATCGCATATTAGGGAAACGTTTCCAGGTATGATTTTAATATGCTCCAATTTTTTTATAACTTTTAAAATTTTTTGTAATTTAATTATTTTTTAATACGATAGACAACAGATAAGACTCCTTAAAAATTGACCCATGCAAACAATTTGGCTTATTTGGTTTGCCAGGGAAGGACTAGCTGTAGCACAGTAATGCCAATTTTTTACACCCTTTATGATAAAGACTCAAAAATAATATTTTTAGATAGCTTGAACCTTAAACTGGTTGTTTTCGAGAAAAAACTATTTTTGTTTAATATGATTTTTATTATATTCATAAAGAGAAATAAACCGATGAAATTTGAATTCTCTCTGCGCCTATCTAAAAAAATGCCACTTTTATTAACATTTGTATTTTTATAAAAATAATTAAACTACAGAAAGTATTTAAAAGTTATTAAAAAAAATAGATTTGCATGGGTGTTCTTTAGGGGCTTGTATCTCCGTAGGGCGGCCCTCTAGGGGAAATTTTTATTGGAAATTGTCATGTTATTTTAACGTCCTCTGTATAAATTAGAGAGCTTGCATATTCTGGAACACCCTGTATAAACAGAGTGGGTACATATATTTTTCCCAGAGATTTGCCACAAATTTTCAAAAAATGTGACCGATATGCCTACTTGACATCTATGCCACTGACTTGAGTTGGGACTTAGTATCTTCGATATTTAGAGGCATATATTTTTTTAACTTTAACTCCGTGTCAAAAAAAGGGTGAAGTTTAGAAAATAAATTTACATAGCAAATCGCCATTATTTTTACCTTCTCCCAAAAGTTTCGTAATTTAAATTGTATACACCTTGTATAAATGATTAGGTATATGTCGAAACCCGTACAGAATGTATAAAATAATATATCGTTTCCTGATTGTTGATTATTGCTCAGTAATAATAATGAGAAATTAAAAATAACAATAATAGAATAACAAATAAGCCATTAGGTATAATGTTCAATTTATGGATCGACATCGGTAAACTTCCAAGACGCTCCTCCTTTATTTTCCCGAACACACACGTATAAATCATTTGTTTGCGGATTCATATGCAGTAAAATTGTGAAATACGTGCGAAAGCCGGCTAAAAGCATTGGAATTCCACCACGGCTTTTTCTGAATGGTAATAAATAAGTTCGCGCGGTATCCGCCGTAATCGTTCCCCGATGGCAGCACCGTACAATCACATGTTTACGGTCTCGTAACGCCGATCCCAGTGGTAGGGAGATAACGATAGAAGAGGGGATCGTCATTGCCTACTTTGATTCTTTCTCTTTTGTTACCTAGTTATGTTTGCTCTCGGTGTAGTTGTAAAGTATAGAGCGAGACGGTGACATGGTCTTGGAAGTTGATGAGACAATGTCAGATGTGGAGATACTCGATGCTTAAGTTTTAACATTAATCTCTGGAAGATTGATGATTGTGTATTATCTTGAGAGGACCCGTGATAAAACCGATCTCTAGAGATATTGATGTAACTGGCGGGGTATGAAAGTTCTACCAACTCGAATTATGTATTTATACGGGAGGTTTCTTGCTAAATTATTCAAATTTGTATCGTTTTCTTCATGAATTAATAGTAGGTACCCACCACTATTGTTTTAAAATCTAGATAGAATAGAATCTTGTATCACAATTCATAAACATATAGAAAAGTAGCTACTTATATACTTAGAATTTACAATTTTAATACCTATCGTTTAAATATTTAAATAAGTATTGATTCTTTTGATTCTTAATAGTAAAAATTTGTAGTTTGGGAAGTGATAAAAAGGATTATCTACTTATAATCAAATTTCCATATACGTAATTATATTCTGCGATTCAAAGGGGATGTTTTCACACTTCTAATTGCACATGAGGTTTGTAAATTTGGATTGTTTAATGAGAAACTGTTGCTTAGCAATTAGACGAGGAAAACTGCCAATTATTAAAACGCGACACCGAAGATTAGATTACCAGTTTTTCGAATTAAGTTGCTATAGGAAACAGTTTAGAATTTAAACAACAGAAATTTATGTGGTATCAATACAAACATCGAGTGTAATTCGGCAGGACAATTTAATGAATAAGAAACTATTTATGAAAAACTAAAAATAAATACCTACATTTTTATTTGAGCGTACAATTATTAAACACGCAGTTATTGAAATTCATACGAGGAATACTAATGCCGCTACGGGTGCCACAGCTAATCGTTTCTGTATTAGATTAGATGTTGAAGTTTATTCTTTTTCCAAACAAATCGATTGAATAATACTTGAATGATACTCTTTGTCAATTTGTAAGTATGGTTTTATTGATGAAGAATTGCTATGTCCTGTTATTTTTATTAGAACTTATTCTTCAATTCCGCTTTTACTTAATTCGCTAACTGCTGCCGCTCGATTTCAGTGATTTGTAATTTTGACACGTTTGACATCTATACCAGTGTGTTATGCTGAGCATTTATGCCCGTTTGCACCGTTTAGAATTTAAGCCAAGTTCAACTGAACTTGGTTTAATTTTAAAACTAGGTTTTAATAATCAGCTTTTGCACCACTTACTGCCGACTGTAGATTAAATTAAACTGGGCTTTAAGAACACTGTTTAGGGATTTTATTATGCTGCTAACTTATGTCCAGCTATGTTCGGAAAAAAATATGTCAAAGTCAAATTCTCAAACCAAAATTTTAATATGAGTACCATCAATGGCACCTAACAACCTAGGAAATGATGCAATTTGATATAACTCATGTTGCGCACCAACTATTTCTTCTGGGTATGGCATTTTTATGTATCTCTGATAAAGCCGAGCTATTGCAATTGATACTC